AATGAAGACCGAAAGCAGCGATCACACTCACCATAAAACGAAAACAAAATCATTTCAAAGTGTTACGGTAGCTTACCTTGAATATCATTCATCTGCGCTTGATACTGATCGAGCTCCGAACCAAGTACGACAAATGCGAGTCGTTTCACCGCTTGCGCTCTAGCTTCGTACTCCTGTTCTTTCGATGTCATGATACTGAAGGAAGCATTTGGCGTGTATGCGATACTCTCTGAAATGAAGAAGTTTGGGAAGCTGGCAGATCAAGGGGCTGCAAAGAGATCTAATACTAACTGAGCAAATCCTTGAACGATGTTTTGTCATGCGTCATCAAGTGATCGGTCACTATCAACCACTGCTTCAGAGAATGCATATCCATCTTGAAGAATGCTGAAAGAGACGCTTTACAATGTAAGTAGCTGATATAGTGATATCCGATATTGTGATCCAAATGATAGCGAAAAATTGTAAGCTAATAAGACGGTCAAGTAATTTTTGCACATCCTGTGGGATCGGTTGCTTCAACTTGATCCAGGTGTGACGATTATTGTACAGGTGCATACATTATGGTCTAAGAAACCATAGTGAGAGACAATCCAAGAAAAGAAGTCAAGCCCAAATAAACTATACTTCTTCGAAATGTGATAATAACTTATAATCTCAAGTCAGTTTTCCACTTAAATTTCACAGCCACTCACATGAATCAAGCAAAAGCTCAAGCGTAGTCTTCTTCCAAACCGGACGCATGTAACTAAACGAGCTCATGGATGCCAACAACTGCGACGAAGCCAAGAAAAATCTCGAATTTCGAGCGCTGAAATAGTCTTTTGTGATGCACAGCAGAAACAGTCAAAAGTTAGATATATTACATACTTCTTGGCTTTCAAGTAAGGAACGACGTTCCCCCAGACGGCGTGAAGTGTTGGCAAGAGCCTCTCTTTGTCATCGCTCTTGCAAACGGAATCCACCAACTCAGCTAAGTTCTATAACAAGCAGTGTTATGCACTGGAAACATAATCCTCCACATTTAATGCGTACCTCTGCCAAAAGGAACAGGGCTTGTGTGCTATGAGATGGATCACGCTTATTGTTGTTTGTGTCCTTCACCGAACTTCGAAGATTGGATCCGCTTTTCTTTTCAACCAATGATCCCGCACTAGTACCAGCATCCAGAGAAGAAGGTCTGTAAATAAGTGAACATTTGTAAAACCTTCTAACCAATGAAATTCAGAGGATGATTAATAGAGAGGCAAGCATCGTAGAAGCATACCGCGTCATCAAAGACAAAGTAGAGCCACGCATAGAATTCTGTTCCGACTGGTTCAGAGAAGGCAGCGGCGTATTAAGAGGGGTATTCAGTTCAACTGATGGGCTGGCATCTTGAGAACGAGTACCTAAGTTGCTCAGCTTTGTTCTATCACAACGTTGAAAGAACGGAAATTGTGGTTAGAAGAGGCTTTTACATACTAGTTTGGTCGTGCTTGACTACGAGAGTTCTCTTCAGCCATGTGGTTGTTTCCAACTGCCAACCAACGATAGCATTGACAGCTTCAGTGAGTCGTTGTACTGCGTCTTGAACGGCACGAGACATCGTCTTATCCTCAACAATGTACGAAGCGCCAGCGCACCGCACATAGTCGCACAAAATTCTGTAACAAACTATTCAGTACCAAGTAATAGGAAAACGAGGAACGTACATAAACAGTAAAAAGACTGCGCGTGGAGGAAGGCTGGCCAACGGTGCATCAGCAAACAAAGATTGAAAAGGTAGCCAACAAGACTGTAATTGGGCTGTAGGAAGAGCCTTCACACAACCATGTAGCAACTCAAGAAGCGGTGCTTCTGTCGGGAATGCAGCCTAAACGGGATAATCAGATCGGCTTTCTTTTCACAATAAAGATCAACACTTACCTTGTCTGCTACTCCCACTTTTGTAGCCTTCACACCTGCCTCTTTCAAGGTTTCATTGACAGCCGTCACAAGCTCTTCAAATGAGATCACCTTCAGACTCAACAGAAGATTTGCAATATCATGTTGAGAAGATGTGTATTCGAAGTTCGGCTGTAAAAAGTATGTTAACGGGGTCGTGAACAATGCAA